TATTTTGCTTTGTCATTCCGTGCTGCCTTTTGGAATCTTCTGTTCAGCTCTTTAGTGTCTTGAATCCTTCATTAATAAAAATGGATGACTGGAATGCAAAAATTGGAAACAGAGAAGAAGGATCAGCAGTTGGAAAGTATGGACTTGAAGATAGAATGATAGAATTTTGTACAATCAATGATTCGTTTATTGCAAATACGTTTTATAAGAAACATAAATGCAGGCTATACACATAGATTTTACCAGATGGTAAGGATAGGAATCAGATGGAGTGTGTCTGTGCAAAGAATGACAGGTGAAGCTGAGTATCTGCTGTGAAAACTAGGACAGGTGCTGATTGTGGAACAGACTACCAACTACTTATCTGCAAATTCAAGCTGAAGCTAAGGAAAATTAAATCAAATTCACAGAAACCAAAATTCGACCTCTAGTCTATGTCATTTAAATTTTAAAACCATCTCAGGAACAGGTTTGAGACATTAAATACACATATTAATGATATTTTTTGATAATTTCCATATTCTGCTAGATCATAATTTTGTTAAATAGGACAAAAAAGGATCTTTTTTAGTCTGTTGCTCAGGAAGTTGTCTACCTTTTTTTTTTTTGCATAGGGTAGGAAAGCATATCCAGGTTGCATCTATTTGTTGATATGCTGTTTCATCAATCAATGGTATTTTATTCTTTGCCAATGCCTTCAGTGCAGACTGGACTTCTTCCTTTAATATCACTGGTTCTTGATTATATACTAATTCCTAAAATATTTTAGCATCAAAAATTATTTTCGGTACAAAATAATTTTTGGTGACTTTATGTACTTCTTCCATCTTTTTTTTTTAATGCTTCATGCATCATTCCTTAAATTTTAAAAGTGAATAATCTATTACTAGATAATTTAGCCACAGTACAAAGATTCAAATACTATAACCTTCAATACATGCTAGGCTAGGACTTCACACGTTATTATACTATATTGTATATTCATAACACATCATTCGCCAGATTGTTAGAGCCATTAAATTACGTGGAAGGAGATTGCTCATCTTTCTCCTTAGGAAAAAGCTGATGGATTCGAACTAAGAACCTTTGAATTGGCAGTGCAACTCCTTACCATTAATCCACTAGAACTCTCTTTGGTATACAGTACATCTTAACATTAAAAAAAAAAATCACAACTTCACCAATAAGCAACATCATGTAAATGAAGAAGATTGATGGATTTATCTAGATCCACAATTCATGAGAGCAGCTCCAAAAATCAATTATTCTTTTTGAAATATTTTATAGGAGATAAAGGACTTTTTTTAAGTGCTAAAGCATTGTAAAGACAAGAATGTCACTTTGAGGACTAACATGCTGCTGATGCAATCCATGGCATTTAAAATTAACATTTGAAAGTTGAATAGTGTTTAAGGTTGACCACGGAAGAATTGATATCTTTGAACTGTGATTTTTGGAAAATACTAAATATACTATGCACCGCTGAAAGAACACAGAAGAGTCTGGGAAGCAATGCAGCCAGGATGTTTCTTAGAAGTTAGGATTGCGACACTTCATCTCCTATATTGTAGTTTCTGTCGAGTTGAGAGCCACTTATATGAACAATAGATCTGAACCTTGTCCTATCCCGTGCCATCCTCATGTCACACATTTGGAGCATATCATGTCAGTCCTTGGAGAAAGACATCATGCATGGTAGAGAATCACTGAAAAAGACAAAGACCCAGAATAAATTACACAGTGGCTGCAGCAAATGGGCTAAAACACAGCACAAGTTACGAGGATGACACTGGACCAGCCCACGTTTCATTGTGCTGTACACATGCTGGCTCAAGAGTGAGAAAGAACTTGACCGTGTGAAGTCGCAAGGCCTTGGGCTGAGGGCGTGTTTCGGGGCGGGGAAAGTGGGGTCGCAGTGATTTCTGGGAATAGCCTTCTAGTGCCTGGAAGGATTGTTTGCTCTTGCTCGGTTTTTCTCGGCTCCGCTCGGCTGCTGCTCTGGCTGGGAGCGCGCGAATTCGGCGCACGCGCTCTGTACTCCTACGGCTCTCAGGGACGGGCTGTCTCATGTTTTTACTTCCTTCTCCTCAGAGCTGTATCCGGGTCGCAGCTTTACCTTTTGTCTCAGGCAACTGGCCCAGATTGTGCAAACTGAATCTTTTGTTGTTTGTGATGCAGGCTAATAAAGATTTTATTTCTTTTTTTTTTTCTTTCAGTCTTAACGGGGCAAATTAAGTCCCACCCCGAGCCGCCGGGCTAGCCGCGCTGCCTGGGCCAGAGGGTGCCTCTGGCGGGGGGCGGCGTGGGAAGGGGCGCGAGCGGCCGGGGCTGGTTCTGCGAGCACTAGGAGGCGGGAGGGGTTCGCAGGGCTGCCCCTGCTGCGCCCCGTTCTGGTCGGCGGCGTTGCTGATTTTAACTTGCATCTTTCCGACGTGCCTTCGCGGCCCCGTTGCCCGATCTCAGCGCTGCCCGGGCTCCCGCATCCTCTCCCTAGGTCTCTTCCTAAGGATCACCTCACGGATTCCTTAGTAAGTGTGGAAGGGGAGAGAGGTCCATTTTAGCCCTCCTAGATTGCAGGAGGAGCTGGAGGGAGGTGGTCTTGACGGAGACCCTTTGTGGGCGGTCCCCGCTCAGGGTCCTCGGTAATGATGAACACGGCTTCTTTTATGCCCTGGGTTTTGCGTTTTTTCTATTGATTGTTAACAGCATATTAATGAGGATTTGGCGAGGGAGTCTCAGGAACATCTCTACAGGTTGTAGAGATAAGAGGGTCAGCTTCGATTCGGGCCCGTTTGCGTTAAGAAGCCTTTGGTGGCGCAGTGCTTAAAGCTAGGTCGGCCGAAGGAACCCACCAGCCAGTCCAGGGAGAACGATGTGGTGGTATGCTTCTGGGTAAAGATTACAGCCTTGGAAACCCCATGGGGCGACAATAACTTTCAATAGATTCATAGGCAACGGATTGGTTTTTTGGGTTTTGGGGGTTTTTTTGGTAGGGGAGGAGTTAGCATACGCTGCACCAGGGAGCTAGAGCTGCCCCAGGCGCTTCCCAGCCCTTCCTTGGTTAGCGCCCTACTCCACACACCTCCTACCCCCAAGCACTGTGGGCTGAGAATTGGGTTTAACAAAGATTTCCTGTATGATGGCTTTTTCCCTCACCACCATGATTTACCCCTGTTCTTGGTGTGATTATGAATGACGATGTAATATTTTCTCTTAACAGTGGATCGCAGTTCCAAGAGGAGGCAGGTGAAGCCTTTGGCAGATTCTTTGCTAGAAGCTCTCGATTATGATAGTTCAGATGACAGTGATTTTAAAGTTGGAGATGCTTCAGGTAAATGCTTCCTTCTCTCTTCCCCTTTTTTACAGTTTTCTGGAGTTGGGCTTATTTTCAGTTTTTTGTTTCTTTTTTTTTCCCAGTCTCAGTTTGGTTAAATGCAAATATAAAGTTAAAGCACATGAACGTCATTTATTTTGTCCATTTGCTTTCCCACATTTCCCCAAAATTCTATCATTGATATTCTGTCATTGCTTGTTTTTATTGCTGCTTTTTCAGTAGTAACTAGCAATTAGAGAAGGCTTAATTTTTAAAAGGCAGTAATTCATATCTAAAATTGGAAAATAGGCAGACATATGGTTTATTTTATAACTTCAGTAAAAAACTTAAAGGAATCTGGAATCTGAAAGGCAATTATGTAAATATTTTACATGAAAATTACTAATAAACATACATATGTAAAATGAAAATTACTATTCTGCCACATTTGATGGAAGCGTTTTTAGATATCTTGTCAGAGAGTTTAGTGCTCTTCTGACTTTTTCCGTCTTCAAAATGATAGGAAGAGATTATGCTGTGGTCCTTTTACTTTATTAACAAGCAAGATTTCATAGTGTTTTATTAAAACTTTGTCCTTTTACTACTCATTTATTTATATAGTAACTCCATGAAGGAGCTATTATTTTTTAGGTAGAGAACAGGCGTGGAGATCTTGCATGGTGCTTTTCAGGTGGTAACAGATCTAATTTATGATAATTTCACTGAAACTTCATGGATGTTGTGGTTACCTGATTTCGTTTAAGTAGGTACAGTGTGTTATGTGTTGGCTGCTAACTGGAAGGTCATCAGTTTAAATCCACTAGCTTCTCTGTGACAGAAAGATGGCTAGTCCCCTCCCATAAAAATTGCCAGCCTCAAAAACCAGAGGAGAGTCACCCTGAGTTGGAAACCAGGCCAAGGAAGTAGACATATTTTTATTTAGCTCACTGTCAACAATTGTAAATTAATAAATTTAAGTGCTTTCTAATCTTGGCTTGTTAGCTTATAAATCATTCTATTTAGTCAAGGAGCCTGGTGGTACTTTGGTTAAGTGCTTGACTATTAATCGGAACTTTGGCGCTTCAAACCCACTAGCCACCTTCAAGGTAGTTCATCCACTGGGAGTTGATCATTTACGAGGAAGGGAAAGACAGGCGTGGGAGAAAAGGTTAAAATTTTTTTGTTAGCTCTCTTGAAATGACATACCAGTTTATTTCTTTTGGCTAGAATGCATTTGGAAACTTGTTCATGGGGTCGCTTGGCCATTAGACGTCACCTCAGTGGCATCTAATAAACAACATGGTAAAAAAAAAAGGTTACAAATTGACACAGTAATGCTTGAGTCTCAGAGAATCTATGATTCTTTGAGTACCATATGAGAAAAGCATTTTTTTAAAAAATGCATCCATTGTTGAGTTGGTTCCAATACATAGTTACCCTGTGTGGGGTTTCTGAGATGTAAATCTTTGGAGGAGAAGACTACCTACCTTTTTCCCAAGGAGAGACCATTGTGTGCTGTGGAGTATGAATTGACCCATCTCTGATCTTCCAGTGGCAGTAAATTGCCTGGGAGGAGATTCCCATCTTTCTTCCACAGGAGCAACTAGTGGATTAAAACCATCTGTCTTTCAGCAATGCATTATTCGTCATATAACTAGGGCTCGCCCCTTAGAATTAAGATTAGAGATGTGATTTAGGTACTGTCCGTAAAATGGCCTTTCAAAGTTAGAAGGTAGAAGGCAGATAGTAGCTAATTTCTTCGAATTGTGGTGGCCCATAAACTCCAGTAGGCAAGGGCTCTGTTGAAGGAAGTGGCTGGTGGATTCGAATTGCCAGCCTTTTGGTTTGCAGTGCAACAATAAGACACTCTAGCCAACACAGCCCTTTATTTTCTATAAATATTCTATAATTGAATTAATTTTTTTGTTACAGTAAGTCTTGAGTTTGTATATATAACTTTCTTTTTAAGATAGGAAATGGAGTCATTCACAGATGTCGTTATTACAAGAGAGAAAACAATCTAATGATACAAAGATAAACTATATTCTCATAGAAGTTTATGGCATGGAGTTAAGTAGAGATTCCTTACCTTGTTAAATCCCAATCGTAATTGGAAAGAACATGTTACCATTTGTGAATGGTGGTAGGATGAAATTTATTAGACTGGTGAATTTATTTTTTTAAAATTTTGAGTGTTTTTAGGGATGACATATATACTTTCTGTCCACTGTTGTCACTTTTCTCACATCTTGTCTATTGCACTAAGACTTTTTCTCCTTGGAGAGCTTAAATTTGTGACTTTAGGTCACTGTTGTGTGTATTCATTTTAATTATCTATTACCTATTTTCTGGAGAGAGGATGAAAGGCACCCAAGTGTCGAGGACTCTCTTCCATAGGGTCGCTATGAGTCACCTGCGACTCGACGGCACTTAAACAACAACAACAACATTATCTATTTTAGGGAGTTCTTGCAGCCTACTGGTAAAAAGCTACCCTGCAAGGTAGCTCCTTGGGCACACAGCACCAGTTGTCCTGAGGGCAAAAGATGGTAGTCTCCTCCCCTGCGATTGACTGCCTTTGAAAACTCACTGGAGGGTCAGCTGTGAGTCAGTTCCTACTCACCAGCACACAGCTACAACAACATTACCTTGTTTTAGGGAGCTTTGGTGGCTTAGTGGTAAGGAGTTGTGCTGCCAACCCAAAGGCATGGGTTTCAAATCCACCACCATGAGAAAAAGATGGGCAATTTCCTTGTGTGGCTTACTGCCTCTAAAAACCTGGTAGAGGGTCAGCTGTGGATTGGTTTTTATTTATCTTAATTATCTCTGTAGTTCTTTATATATTAGTTCAAATGGAAGTTCAGCAGAAAATGATTTTATTTAAAGTCATTAGTAGTAATTAGAAACTAAGTTACATTTTTATTATTATTTCATAGGGTAAGCCATCCTATAATTAAAATGTTGGCCTTTGTCTAGATTGCTAATGATTTGAATTTTTTTTCTCTCTTCTGCCTGAGTTTAGTTGGACTTTACAGGAGATCTTACACATATTACTGCTTTTCAAACATGGAATTATGGATCTTAAGCCTTCTTATGGAGAGATTAAACTGGAGATGGAAAAACAGTAGTTAAACATGTCCTGATTGTACTTCTTCCAAAACGGAGTCTAGAAATGACTTGTTGATCTTTTTAAAATGTGATCAAATAGTTGGCCTATTGGTTTGCCTTAAATTTGTTAACTGGGATTCTGTGCATCAATTTCTTTTAATCTTCATCTTAAAATTTTAAATTCTACCCAATTTTTAAAAATTGTTTCTCTCTGGCTTTAATAATAAATGTAGAAAATACGAAAAGGTTATTATTTTCAACAACCTTGCAGATAAGCAATTTTATTCACATACTTTTTAGAAAGTAGGAAAAAGTAAAGATTGCTAAAAAAATGACCTGCCAATAAGATTGGCAAGGGCTTGTGAATAAAGGTTATAACTATTTTCCTTTAAATAATTAAGAAACTGAAAATAGCTTATTTCTTTTTACTAAAGTAAAAGCAGAGTTAAATTCCTTTTTTTATTCCTTCCCATATTTATAACGCGTTTTAAGGGGACAAATTCAGCCTGCATCAGGATTTAAACTTTTCCCACATATACTTGCCACCTTTTCAGAGTGGTGTTATCTCACCAGATTCTCTTTGCATATTCCTTGGGAAACCATTACATTTGTAACTGGGCATCTCTTTGTGTGGATATGTCAGCTTCCCTGTGTGAGCCCCTTTTGGCTCCCGTTGGCTTCTTCCCATGGTGGGCTTCTGTACTTGCTGAGTTCCCCAGTCCTCTTCTCATCTCTCCATCATTAAGTACCCTATAAAACCAGCTGGACTCAATAAGAGCATAACCATTGAGTTGGAAATACAGAACCAATATCTGAATAATAACCAATGTTATACGTAGGTAGATAAGTAGATGAGTAACTGTCGTCAAGTCTGAATTCCTTATTTTTGAGTGAAAACTGTCAGTGAGTATATTTTAAAGTTAGTAAGTACAGAAATGGTATTTATATATTAGAATTATGATACTAATATATTAAAATTGTATTTATAACTACTAGGAGAACCATATATAGAAATGCTAGGCTGATGCATATGAAAGCATCAGTTTTATAGGTCTAGAACTGTAGGATGTTGGCAATTTCATGGTTTATGCAAGTTAAAGTGATTACATTTGAGATTTATTTCTGAAGTTAGGAATAGTACAGGAGATTTATTTATGTTTAAAAATCTGCTGTATAAATTCAATGCTTTTAAATATGTGTATGACTTTTGTGAAATAAGACAAATTAGGAGTACCATTCGCTTCTCTATCAAAGCTAAAAGGTTAGGCTTAGACCTTGAGCAATGGTTAGTTTGGTTTTTTATCTAGTTTGGAAAAGTGAGAAAATTTATTTTTAGTTGACTTTGAACATGTGAACAAAGACATTTATTGACCTGTAATTTCTAAAAGCACTTTGCTAGGTGTTTGATGAAGTTACAAAACAATAATAAAATAATTAAATAGAAGAAATAAAGGATAAATGACACAAGACCTCACTTATGTAGTTCAATTCTTTCATAGATGGTGAGTTTGCTTTAGATTGGATTGGTTTAGAAAACTTGAGTCAATGAGTTGAACAGTGAACTGAAAGAGATATAACATTTAGTAAATAGTGGTCTAGGTATGAAGACAGGGAAATGTCATTTATATTTGGGGATCAGAATGGGAAGACCATGAAGAGAGAAGCCTGGAAAAATAGGATGCAGTAAAATTGAAACCATATGTGCTTGAGCATGGTTCCTTATATTTGGCACTGTTGGCACTTTCGCTGCATTGTTCTTCAGTGAAGGCTGCACTGTGCATTGTAGAATGTTTAGCAGCATCCCCAGCTTATATCAACTGGATGCCAAAGCAGCTCTGAACCTCTTTGTGATAACCATGGTTAGCTGGGAGGTTGTTCTTAACTTGAGAACCACTTGTTTGCATTTATCC